TGTATGATGTTAAATTATATGGTTTTATACTGTTACAATTAGAAGGTTATTTCTACAGTGTGATGAAAATAGTTGATCATCACACGGAGCGAAAGAGTCTTTTTGGTACTTAATTTTATTTCCAGCCTCGCTTGTAAAACACGATTGTGTCCCAAAATGAGCTACTTTCGCTCCTTTAGATTGCTAAAATTATGTTATAATTAATTTAATTTTTAACTTAACTAGTATGCCATGTTTGTGTTAAGAATAAACTGCGCCAACCACCACTAAAGGTTCAAAACAAAAGAATAGGTAGACAAAAGCTTTATCCACTAGGGTACACAATTGTTCCCATTTAAAGCCTTATGATAATTTAATAAGCGTAACTATCTTAACAACTTGCAAAAATGCAAAGCTACTTTTCCTTGTTTAAAACCATTCGCTGTTATTTATACACTAGGCTATATACCTCAGACATAATTTGTTTATCTAAATAATGTGTATCAAATAAGTAAAATATAGTAAAACTAGCTGTGTGCCCGTTCTACGCACGGGGATCTTATAGTAGTCAGTTGAAACATTATTATATAAAGAACAGCAGTTGGTTTGCATATTTTCAGACGTGCTGGCAAAACTATTATATATAAACCTAATATTATGACATATAAAGAAAAAGCAAAACATATATAAAAACTTTGGTGACAGTTTGAACCAAACAATCTCATCCAAACACCTTTTTCTTATTTAGAATATGACGTATTCTCTAAACGATGTTTGGTATATGTAGTTAATATTACTGTAGAAGGAAATGTGAACAAAATCACACAATGTTGTGTTTTTGAAAGTTTTTAATTTGATTTCCTAAGTAGGTACCTAGGCCATGTATTCTAGGGAAAAGTACCGGTATCAAGGATCGTCGTCGAATAGGTTGTTATGAATAATTGGGTAGGCCTATGTACCCAAGATACAGTCTTATCGGCCTATTGGCTGTATGGTCCAGCGATTGTAGCACATAGGGGTCAGTAGAAACCGAAAGTGACACATTGGAAAAGCGAGTTTAGCATCATCCGTAAACCTCTGTTACAATCACCCACTGCAGTTATGATTTTTCACTTTACGCTTTACACAACCACCATTGAGACGCCGTCAATTTAATAAACGTAAGTTTCCCAGCCCTATACATCAGTGTTTCAAGGTCTTTTTCCCGGTTATCAAAGCTTCAGAGCAATTTTATATACAAAGAATCTCTATTTCATTTTACACATTATTGAACTTGCGATTAATGAAATCCTTTATGTAAGGAAAATAGTTTTTAATCTCACTTGGTTTTGGATTTTGCTTTCAAAATGTGATCGGAAATGTTTGCGGTATTTGTAAACAACCTTTAATGTAAACATATCGGTGACAGCTAGAAAAAATAATCTTGATCCGAACAGCTGTTCGTTATTTCATTGATGATTAAGTGATGAACATTGGACATTGGGAGAAAACTTGACAAAAATCGCACGAAGTCGGGTTTTTAAACGTCCGTCGTTTTATATACAAAGTAGTGAAGCCATATTTTAATGGCTTAAGACAAACTCGCTAATCCAGTGAATACATTAAAATTATTTGGATCTTGATAAGTACTCTAGTTTTTCAGGAGAAGGCCGCGTAAAATGGCTCTTGGGCCGTAACAGACACGAAGACAGACAGAAATTTAGATGAGACTTGTTTCGGTTTGTTTATGGTATAAAACGTAAAAATAACCTAAAAGTTGATGATTCTGAGCAATGTACAGACAAAACTCTAATTTTATTTATATAGATAAATATATATACCATTTTACTATTAAACATAAAAAATAAAATATATCTGGATTTCAAGTACATTTCATATTTAACATTTTTCTGAAAATAATAACGTGTATTTTTAAATATTCGGTTGGTAAGTAGTTGAATAATAGTTATTCTTTATAGTAGCATAGATAAAACATACTCCCTTAGTAGATTTCTCATCCTTATGGAACAGCTGAAGACAATTTTATTGTTAGACTTAGTTCTGTACGGTTTTCTGTAGAGGTTGTGTTTTGTTTACAATTTGTTTCCCGTTATTACAGCCATTTAAAACCTCGTGTAACCAAATAATACGATCTAATCATATACAATAACTTGTCCCCTAGTTATATAACCAAACAGTAAAGCACAAATCAAGAAATTAACCCTAAAATAATAGAAACAAAGTTTCGTCGACACTAGCGCCCATGTGTCACGTACATGAACTAGACACGAAAAACGTGCTTCAAAATTTAAAATGGGATGAGAAGTCTACTTGTGTTGGTTAGTCTATGATAGTAGTTAGGGGTTTAGTTGTGAAAGTGGGTTACACACTAGTGGTGTACACATGACCATGAATAGAACCAGACCAATTCAATGTTAAAAGTTGCTGTCAGTTTTAAGAGAAAAATGAAAAAAGTTGAATTTACCATTGACAGAGTTTGCCGACCTAAATTTCTGATATATTTGTCTAAAAAAGGTAATTTTTTAATCAAACTTAACTTAAATAGGAAAACTTAATATCGAGCTATAGTCTCTTTTATGTCTACTAACTTATCAATTTATTTAACAAAAGTGTAGCAATCTCAGTCACTGGCTCATTCAATTTGTCTCTTTTTTTTAAAAAAAGCTGCTACAGCTGGTCTGTTTACTTCTTAGTATCAGGGTTACTAAACATTTGAATTCATAAAATAGACCAAGACTTATCTTAAGATGTAACCTTATCCTAATTGAAGACTATTGGAGATAACACCCAAAATGTGGACACAGAAGGAATTATGACACAAAATGATAACATGGTGAACTCTTTGTGAACTGCTATAACTCATGCATAAACTAGGGCATTCTAAATCAAATATCCTGATTAAAGTTTTATTTGGTTTTAAAACTTTTTTCGATAGTTATCTTTTGTATACTACTATAGAATTAAATTGAGTTTATTTTAATGGTTGTAATAGTATTTGATAATTTTAATTGCTCTAATAAATTTCATAAGAATTTTACAGAAAATTATTTTTGTAATTATTTATGTATATATTGTGAATAAATTAAATGTTGTTAGTCTATAGCTCATGAAATGTGCAAACTTATCAACATTGTTCTTTATTATACATTATTCTTTGATAATAGTATAAAGTTGTTAGAAATGGTACATAGTTTAAGCCGAGAAAACATAATTCGGAAGTTAAGAGCTGTTCTGAATTAAATAAAGTTAACCACTACTTGGTTCCCTGAGTATGATGATATAAATCAAAGTTAAATGTTGATGTAAAGTTTGTAGGTAGGTACTTTTTTATAACCGGTATCATCATTGTGATTTTATATGGAAGATCATTAAAAAAAAAAAGATCTTACTTAAAACAAAGATTATCCAATCAATTTATAAAACAGAAAATTGAAATGTTTCAGTAAGTAATTTGTTCTAACTCATACTAATTAAGTAAGTTACAAGTTTTTCAGTATTAGAATAATATCACAAACAATGTTTACAATATTAAACATAGCTTTTACCAAATTCCTATTAAATAAGTTTAATCTTTTTTTAAGTCACCTCTTTCACCTATAACTAAATTTTCAGGCAATAAAGAATAGAATATGCAGCAATTTTTTTTTTAAATTCAAACATTTAATATAGGTTCCAAAATTCAAAATCTCTGTTATACTTCCAATTAAGCCAGACTCCTCCTGAGTCTAAAGACTGTAGGAGGGAGATGGGCGGTTGAGTTCTGGGATCTAGTTACATAACCAATAACTGGTTGTTGGCCTAGTCCATGGCTGACAGTTGGATGGCCTTATGATTGTAATTCCTCATTGTCTTTGTATAGGTTAGTGTAGCCTCATTAGTATTGCTAGGTCGTCTCAATATGTTGATTATCATTACTGTTTTTGCATATATTGATTTGTGGTACTGTTATGATTTTGAATGTTGAGAAGATAGGTTTGATTTATGTTTGAATTACTTTCAGTACTTTTATTTTAGAAGACCGACTATGTATCATTACAAAGAGGGATTAACATTAAATTTTCCGATTTATAAATATAGACTTTTGCCTACACTTTATCATTAGCAAGTTGCTCTGGCACACATTTGTTTGTTTCTAGTGGATAATAAACAATTAATTACTGTATTGGTCAATTATGTTAAAAGATTATCTCTCTCATAAAAATAATTTATTGGTTTTGTTAGGCATCTTTTTGGCCCTTTTAATTGTATTATGCCCTTTTTAGGGTTACAACAAAATCTACCGTACTCAGTCTTCTTCTCTTGGATTTCAAAATTTGTAAGTTACAGTAATGCAATGGGACTTATTCAATAAAACAACCAAAAATCCTAATTTTAGAATTTTACTTCAAAATAAAAACTTTATTAGTCCTTGTTATTGTCATCGGTGTTGATAAACTAAACCGGTGGACTTATTGATACTTATCAAAATAAATATTGAATTCAATTCTACTATTTGACCATTTATCATCGGAAAGTTACACCAAATAAACAGATTATTTTTCAGTACTATCTATAATTGACAATGGGCCGTAGACAGTTTACTTTGTTTGCATGTTGATACAGTAACGGTGTCTGTGTTCGAATACACAACCTTTGTGCCTAGTATAGTGTGTAATGTTCACTATTAAGAATCTTTTTTTATTACAATATTTACACATACTTGGTGGCTACTGAATATTTTAAATAGTACCCAGTTTCTACTAATGTGCAAATATTTGTCGAATCAAATATTTAAAATAACCCGAAACCTACAGCTGTGATCTAGAGTTTGTCTCCAACATGAAGTTAAAGCAGATGTTGTTGAAGATGTTAAAAGTCAATAGTCAATATGGTATTGCTTGTTCAGATGTCTGTGATGACGCTTTGTCTGTCCAATTCAACCATCGTGTCTTTGCTTGCACCTTTCCTTTCTGCACTTTGTTACCAACAGAATTATCTATTCCAAATTTGAAACAAATTTGTATTTATGTTTTGTTTTCCAGCTGAATGTGCACACTGGTAAAAAGATGAAAGAAGAACGTCAGCCTTTATTAGTCGGTGGCCCAGAACACCAGGAAAACTATGAAAGGTAATTAATTATTACTTATTTGGTATTATAAACAGTAATTGAAAATAACAGCGTTCTTGAGTAGGATGAAAAACTAAATCAGTAATAATTGGTTTATATCATTGACTTGAACTATCATAAGGAGTGCCAAGTAAAAGTTTTGATGCTTAGGTCTTATAATTTTTCTATACAAAATGAATTTCATGAATGATCCTAAAAATTCCTGTTGAAAATATATAATGCTAAGGAAAACTATCAATACTGAGTTATAAAATTGTAGTAAAGTAAAATGAAATGGTCTAACTAACTGAACCGACACTTGAAAAGACTTGCGTTATAGGACCAAAACCATGCAAAAGACTTTGCCCCAGAAATGTTCAAAACTTCAATGGTATTCTCTTTTGTGGAGTTTAAAATTGAGTGTGTAGGATACTATCATAGTTTGATAAAGTAAAATGGTTATCACACACAATAATAATGACCTATCTGAAAATAGGTTAGGTAGCTGGGTTGTTAAAGAACTCTCCTAATAATCACAAGGCCGCTTGTCTGATCATATGAGCAGTTTGTTGTGTTTACGATCAATTGGCTTATAACGGTCCATCGGACGCTTGCGTTTAGCAATATGATCTTAAATGAACTTTATGCGCTATTTTTGATGAACTGTATCACATTTGATTTTAGATTGTTTGGGTTATTAGATAGAATTAGTACTTATTTATGCCGGGCGCAGAAGTAGCTCAAACGTTGTGCCCATTAATGCAACTTGCAAGTGCTAACTCCACTAATTAGTTTAGTCCGGTGCTAAAATCTAACTCAGCGTGTGCTCATAAGATCTAAATGTGAAATTGAGTGCAGGATATTTCACTATTACACTTGTTTCGTTTTGTGATTTTGTAGCGTTTTTTTTCACCTTTAAACAAGGAAATTATTTTCTAATTACACATTTATTTATACCGCTTAGTGTCCTTGAACAATGAGACAATTTGCTTACAAACAGAAGTTACAAAAAATATGTTTTCCTACAGTTACCCGACAAAGTTGGCTTCCTTGTACTGTTTACAGTACAGAAAGCTGCTAATTGCTGCATATTCATACTTTGCCGTACGGTTGATACTTTGTCGTACGGTTTATACTTTGCCGCACATCAGGATTCCAACGAAACAACACAAAACAGCTGGTTCTATTATGCACGTAATCCGTGTACGCTTGGAAATAGGTTGGCAACACTTAAAGATAATAATACTATGAGCAGCTGATTGACTATTATAACTATGATTTAACCTGTCATTTCGTGTTTATAGTTTTGGTATTTCTGAACTTTCTGGTCTTTTCTTTTAAACGTTTTTAAAACATTCCTACGATCTTAATAAACAAGAAAATACCTTTAGCCTAAAGCATTTTTTTTTGGCGCGGAAACCACTTCAAATTACAAAAACATACGGAACTATATTTTTAAAACGCGGAGCACATTTCTTGCCGAGGAAAAATAGCGGAGTGATACGGACCGCGGGTACTACTTTCTCTAGGGCATCATTTGTGTTGCCAGCTGAACCTAAAAACATGTTGTATAGTGTTTGAAAGACTAAGTATTTATATGCTTTATAGTGACTGTAGAAAAAATATAATGTGTAACACGAGTGAAAAAGGCCTTTGCTGCACTCGAGATCATTCCGCATTGCTCTCGTGTGCAGCAAAGTGCCACTTTCACCACTAGTTACACAAATAACTATATATAACAAATTCTGTATTGTGTTACGTTCTGTTCAATGTTTTCCATTCTCTTATCTTCATAATTTAAAATTTTTATACTTTAATTAATTCCTACATAAATTAATAAAAGTTTAATATTGTACATTTGTGTAAAAACTTCTACATAAATTTTCAACATTCCGATTTTATTTACATAGCTGCAATTGAACTATCTATTTTGTAATAAGGTTAATTGCAATTTAACTCATGAAAATTTGTGCTGGTTTTATTCATTCAAGTGCTAAACTGACATTCGTAAGCACCCCAGCAGCATTTAAAATCAGTGTGCTGGCTAAACCGCTGGTATTAATCGGTATCAAAAAGTCCAAAAATGTCCTCTAACACTCGTTCTTCTTCCATATTTTGACTTAGATATGACAAGTTGTATCCTCATGATAATGATATCCTGTGTTTACAGCCGGGCAGTGGCACGTCCAGACTTGCGGGAGTCTCCGGACAACGTAGTCGTTCACTTGCCCGGACCCCTGGACCACCAGAGTAGTCCGGACTTGCTCAAGACTTCCGGAGGCAAAAGCTGCAATGAGGACTACAACCCAATTATGAACCGGGACTTGGAGCATCCCACTTCGTGAGTATAAGTCGTAACAATTTAAATGAATTAAAGAGCCAATGAACTTTTAAAACTATATCTTTGACTACTAATAGAAAAAAAGTCCCATTTACAACCTAAAGCTCTAACTGGTTTTATTTAATTAAAATTTACATAATTGATTGTGTTATTTATTTATACTTTTTAATGATTTTCAAATCCATCAACCTGATATTCACCTCCAATGTTGTTATGATGCTCATTTAAAACCTAGCTACTCTAAGGTATGCATTAACAACATCAAAATGTCACGAGTATTTAGGCACTTTTGCCGAGTTTTATGTTAATGTCCATAAAATCTTTCAATGAAGACATACACATAATTATACGTATAATTTCTTAAACAGCATAAAATAGGCTATCTTTTAATATATAGTATTTAAAGATACCCTTACCTTACAAGACTGAATTCCTATATGGGTTCAAATCCAGAAGATGCACAAATTTTGTTACTATTTCTGAGTTACCAGACATGTGGTAAAACATTAACAGCCACAAAATAAAAAAAAAACTGTTACATGTATTTTATTCTAAATTAAATGAGGAAAAAGAAAATATATAGATCTATAGTGTTTATTTGAAAAATAATTACTAAACCTTACAAAAACTAAGATATGAACACCGAAACGATGTAGCCATGACAACCATCGACAAAAACAAATAATCAGAAAAACAAACACATGGCAAAAGAAACAGATAGAAGACGGCCATCTTTATTTGTTGTCACGAAGCCCAGAATCTGCTGTATATATTGGTACGCATTGTTACCGGGATCGTTCAATAGTATGGGATTGTATCGAACAAACAGAAAGGCTGCAACGGCGCCGTAACTACGGCAATTGACACTTCGAAGGTTAAATTTCAGCGTAAAAGATATACTGAGTAACACTGACAGAGCAGGTAAGATTTTTCTATCTTGTACTATTTTTTCTCTATTCCCTACTAATCCCTGACCTTTCCTCCTCAGGAACCTGGACACCATGATCCATTTGTTGAAGGGTAATATTGGGACGGGAATCTTGGCGATGCCTGATGCGTTCCACAATGCTGGTCTGCTCGTAGGCACGTTGGGAACTATGCTGATGGGCTGCATCTGTACCCACTGCATGCACATGCTGGTTAGTATACTGCTTAAATAAAATAATATTAGCCTTATTAGTATCATAGGCAAACCAACCATAAGTAGACTTCTCATCCCATTGTAAATTTTGAAGCTAGTTTTTCATGTCTAGCTCATGTCAGGTGACACTGGGCGTTAGTGTCAACATAATTTTGTTTCTATTATTTTAGGGTTCATTTAATGATTTGTGTTTTACTGCTTTGTTATATAACTACGAGTTATTGTTAATGGTTAAATTGCTGTTTTTTCAACTTACATTATAAAAGGAACACAATAATGAATGTAGAACATTTGTGCAGCTAATTTAAGTTCATATTTTATTTCAATTGCACCTTAGTAGCTTCCCTATTTCATAAAAAGATAGAGAAAATCTTCTGCTCAAAGACATAACTCAGACAAAGTTTCAATCTTAACCTCTAACTCAATAAAATGATTATCGACCCAAAACCTTGCTATGTTGTAGGTGAACTGTTCACATGAGCTGTGTATGAGGCTCCAGGTTCCAGCTCTGGGATTCTCAGAGGTCTGTGAACATGCCTTCGCCACGGGTCCTCAGAGTGTGCGGAACTTCTCTCGTATCGTAAGGTTAGTTACAATTACTCACACCAGTTTGATATGAGATATTGGACATAAAGAAAAATCCTAATAAAAGAAAGAGAGGAGGCTGTTTTAGATAACATTCTTTTCGGTCAATCAATGACTTGAATTTAAAGACTATTTAGGTTCAAAGAGATCTTCAACAATTAATTGTTATTTATGTTATTTTAAGGATATAAAATAACTTACCGTTTTTACTCTGATGTTTTAAAAGTTAGGGAGAAAATTTGGATTTGGAAGAATAGTAGCTTAGTAAATTAAGTTAGGTTAAGTTGATTGTGATTAATCAACTAGGATTAGAATTTCTCTCACAATCGTATATTGGAATAAATCCTTATGGAAAGTTAAGAACAATTAATAGTCCTGAGTATAAAGATCAGATCATTATGTCTTGGCAATTTTTTGATCAATATTTTTTTAAATAAAACCACAAATAGCATCAGGTTAGATAATTCTTTCCAGTTTCTGTTTCTTTCGATTTCAATGTAAATTTGTAAATTTTTAGATTCGTCACCAATATGTTCCTGGTCATCACCCAGCTTGGCTTCTGCTGTGTCTATTTTGTATTTGTTGCTGCAAATCTCAAAGATGTGAGTGTTGTATATTATTTATTTTATTCATAAATTATTTTGTTGTGTCATGTGATATGGTCTTTACAAAGGCGCAACCCATTCATTTATCAAAAACATTGACGTAGTATGAGCTCACTTTATGTATTCCCATTCCTTAGTTTAAGTAGTAGCTTTGACTGTAGTAGCTAGATAAAAAATGTAGGAAAATGTGGTTGAATTTGTCACCGGCCAAGGGTGTTAAGTAGTAGCTTTGACTGTAGTAGCTATATAAAAAATGTAGGAAAATGTGGTTGAATTTGTCACCGGCCAAGGGTGCTTCTGTATAGTTACTGTAGTTATTTTTTGTCCTGTACATCAGTCATAGTATAGAAAACTGAGGTAGAAAATTGTATTTATTTACAGTACCTTCAATAGAACAGTTTTTTTTATTTTATGTATAATAGCACTAGCAGTCTGCTATTCTATGCATACTGAATACATCACAATTTTAACATAGAAAAATTGTCTGGAACAAAAAAATCCTCTTTAACCTCTATAATTTCCTATTCTTACAACAATAATGAATATTTTTAGGCAATTCTAATTTTTCTGATATTATGGTTATGTTCATTGCCAAGTGTCAAATTAGTAATTGTCTACTGTACATAGATAGTAATAGTGAATGTTAAATAAAAGTATTACCATGCATTTTATTATTTTTTACTGAAATATCTCACACTAACGTCTTTACAGGTTGTGGCTCACTACTGGTTAGACATTGACAAGCACTGGTATCTACTGGCTCTGCTTCTGCCCATGATAGTGATGAATTGGATAAACAACCTCAAGTGGTTGACGCCGGTGTCGCTGTTTGCTGCTCTACTTACCTCGTCTGGTCTCGGAATCACGTTCTTCTACATGCTGCAAGGTTTGCCCCGAACGTCAACAGTTCAGGCGTTCGCCTCCTGGGGTCAGCTACCTTTGTTTTTTGGGACAGCAATTTACGCTTTTGAGGGCATCGGAGTTGTAAGTATGAGTATTTTGTCCTGCGTTTTTCTTCTAGTTTAAAAATAATGTTAAAGAAGACTTAAAGGAATTTAAAAACTCCAAATTATTACTAGTTTACAGTAGTTACTAAACTATAAAGGCATTTATTTTTTACAAGCCCCTGAATTAAGTTAAATAACACAATTATTGGTCTGAATACCTACTTCTGTGCTATTCAATTGTTGGTTGTTGTGGTGCAACTATAGTTCGGCCGCTTAGAAAGCGACCTCCTCCAGCATTGGTTTAGCATTAGCGCGCAGGTCGTTTTCTAAGCGGCCGACTCTACTCTGTTGGACACAGACCTGGAATTGTTTGTCACATTACTTCAAGTCAGGCCAACATGTTACCTAAGCCCTCAGGGCTCTCACCGTTTATGGCATTTGGATACTTTAAGACCTACACCGCATCCCGGTCAAGGTCGAGCTTCTTGGCGCGGAGAATACCCTGGATGTAATGTGACACACAGGTCCAATTGTCCTCACCCTCCGTCATCATCGGTATGACCGTGTCCACCGACAGCAGTCCTACTAACTGTTGAGCCTCCAGGCGGGGCCTTTCCCAACGCTGGCAGTGGAAAAATGTATGTTCCTCGTCATCGGGAATGCCTGGGCAGTATATGCAATCGGGTGACACGGCTTTGCCCATCCTGAACAGGTACGACCGGAAAAAGCCGTGACCCGTCAGAAATTGGGTGAGGTAGAAGTCCACCTCTCCGCACCACCGATTAACCCAAGGTTGGACTTGCTTTATCAGTCGCCTGGTCCAGCGTCCCCGAGTCTCCTGTTCCCAGCTCTCTTGCCACAGCTGGTAGGTGCGGGTGCGTTCCTCTGTTCGTGCCTGGTCCTCCCCACGGCGCTGATAAATTGCTTTTCTCTCCGCCGCCAAAAGTTTGACGGGGATGACTCCAGCAACCACCAGGACGGCGGGTTCGGACACTGTTCGGTAGGCGGATGCAACTCTTAGTGCTGCCTGACGCTGCACTCGGGCAAGCCGCATCCTATGTACCTCCTTATTTAGAGCGTCTGCCCACACCTCAGCACCGTACAAGAGTACGGACTGGACAGAAGACATTAACAGCCTTCTACGGCTGGACCGAGGCCCTCCGACATTGGCCATCAACCGGCTAAGAGAGGAGACCACACTAGCGGCCTTGTCCGCCGTACGGAAAATCTGATCCCGCCAGCTAAGCTTGCTGTCCACCATAATCCCAAGGTACTTGGCAGAACGAACGGTCTGGACTTCAACGGCCCCTACCCTCAACGGCCCGATGGTGTCAATCCGTTTTTTTGTTAATATCACGATCTCAGTTTTGCTCAAAGCAAGCGAGAGACCGTGGTCTGTCATCCATGCGTTTATAGTACGCATAACTCGGTTCAGCTTTAGCTGAGCCAGCTCAACGCTACGTGCAGCTATCAAAACTGCAACGTCGTCCGCGTACCCAACCAAAACAGTTTCCTCAGGCATTTCAGACCTCAGGAGGCTGTCATACGCAACATTCCAGAGGTCCGGGCCGAGTATGGAACCTTGGGCAGCACCGGAAGTGACACTCATCGTCCGTGGGCCCTCTGTAGTGTCATACAAGAGGAGGCGGAACCGGAGATAATCCTCTATGATACGCATGAGGTATGCCGGGACGTGAAAGGTGTTCTCCAGAGCATCCAGCATATCGCACCACCTCGCCGAATTAAATGCGTTTCGCACATCGAGAGTGACGAGCAGCACAACCCTTCGAGAGTAGTGGTTAAAATCCTCAGCTCTCATCACGGCTTGCTTCACCTCTTCAACAGCGTCAACCGTAGATCGCCCCATCCTGAATCCATACTGCCGAGGGGACAGGTCCCCCGCAGCGACCACGGCTGAATTCAGTCGGGAACGTATCAACTTCTCGAGGACTTTTCCAGCCGTATCCAACATACACAGAGGTCTGTAAGAGGATGGCAGGTCTGGATCTCCCTTCCCCTTCCCAACAAGCACAAGCCTAGCTGTTTTCCAGCACGAAGGGAAAACTCCTTCGACTAGGCAGGCATTGTACATGCGTAAAAGGATCAAGGGGTTAATAGTCAAAACCTTTTTGAGAACTTCGCCGGGTACCCCATCGGGTCCAGGAGCCTTATTGTTCTTCAGGGATAGGACGGCCGCCTCCACCTCTCCAAGTCTGAAAAGTGGTACGTCATCCACCCTTCCGAAATCCCGCAGTGGGCGCAACGTGTGAGCCGGGAAAAGGGACTCGACTATCCTCTCCATAGTGGCCCCATCTATGACGGAAGGTGGAGAGCGGGTGCCAAGTTTCTTGGTTACCAGTTTGTAACCCAAGCCCCACGGATTGGAATCGATATCGTCCCTTAATGTCTCCCAGCAACTACGTTTACTCCGGTTGATGGCTCGACGAAGAGACCTCCTAGCCACTCTGTAAGCATCCGACTTACGACGTCTGTCTACAGGTTCTCTGGCCCTGGTAGCAAGTCTTCTGGCTCTCAATGCTGACCGACGCAATTCCGCAATCTCGGCAGTCCACCAGTACACAGGTCGCTTATTGCACCGGGATCTTCCGCGAGGCATAGACTCATCGCAAGCGGAGACGATTAGTCCCATCATGGATGTAACTAACACCTCTGCATGAGCCACACTAGTTGTGGGGGGAACCACCGGTGTTCCTCGTAAGATGGCTTCATTGAATTTTGCCACGTCCAATTTTTTAATATTCCATCGAACGGGCACTTGACGAAACGCGGCTACTTGTCTCTGATGACCATCCAGGACATCAAAAATAATGTACTGGTGGTCACTGCCCGTGTAATCCTCCAGAACTCTCCAGGCTCTGATCCTTGGCAAAAGGGACTCAGATGCAAGGGTTATGTCTGGGATCGTTCCCCGCATCCCAGGGCGCCGGAAAGTTGGCGTGTTTCCCTCGTTGACGACAACGAGTCCGGCTCTGGCAGCAAAGTCCAGAATGTACTTGCCCCGGGAATTGGTGAGGGTCATTCCCCACTCGACAGCCCTAGCATTAAAATCCCCACCCACGACGATGTGTCCTGTGGTATTGCGCACGCTCTCTTCCAGGCGGTCTATCTTCTCACGAAATTCACGGATGGCCTCGTTGGGAGTGAGGTAGACACTAAAGTAAGTGACATCCCGGCACCGAACCCAAACGAAACCTCGGCCCTTCGCGTGACCCCGTACTTGTACTTTCGCTGCATTACGCGCCCAGAATGCATCAGTACCAAGACTATCAGGGAACCAAAAAGATGGGTCCCTATCACGGTACTGGTACTGTTCGCTGACTAAGAGCGCGTCGACATCGTGTTCTAGGGCAAGCTGACATAGAAGTGCGTCAGCCGACCTGGATCGCTCAAGATTGCACTGAAGGATTCTTATCTTCGTGAAAGGACTTTCGCTTGCTGTAGTGCAGATTTGAATACACTACACTGTCCAGACCCAGCTATATGCTTCAAGTGTTTGTCAGCGAGCCCATTTTCTTTGCAAAGGAAACAGGACTCGACTTGGCAGTCCTTACGGACGTGACCGACCTCCCCGCACCGAAGGCAGTTCTTGCTTCGGTCGGGTCCCTTGCAGTTTCGGGAGGAATGGCCGAAACAGAGGCATTTAAAACACCTCTTCACTTCCACTCTCCGTCTGAGCCTGCAGCCGACTCTCAGATGCTGGAGTCCCAGCACTTTCGTGGCATGTGCGTCTGCCATTTCGGCGACCGCCATCCGCTGCTGACTCCTGTTCGGTTTTGTGAGCCACACCTTAAATAAAGCCGTTTGCCCGCCAAGCTCGGGGACAGCTTTCTTCAGGGCCTCAACAACATCAACCTCCGTCGACACACAATCAATGTCTCGAACCTCGACTGATGTCTTTGGTTCAAGAGCACGGACGGTGCCCTGGCCTTCAACAGCTGCCTTCAGTTCGGCAGTAAAGGCTGCTTTGTCTTTCGACTTACCCAGTTCAAGGAGAACGTCCCCGTCCCGGGTTCGTCTAATCGACCGTACAACCGTATCGGTCTGCTCTGGCTTAGCCTTGGCCTTAATTGCACCCAAGACCTCGGCGAAAGATCTCCCCCCTGAGGGCTTGACCAGGATTGCCTCCGTCCTGGGCTTTTTTGGCCGGGACTTTTTCGGAGCAGAGACCGAGCCGGGCCCAGTTTGGGCCACGCCGGTCGGCTGTGCCTTCACTGCCACATTCTTTATAGAGGTGACCTCCGCCCGCCTCAACTGCCTCTTCTCCTTTCGGGAACGACGTTTTTCCCACGCAGCCCCAGGTGTCTCTACGACTGACCCCTTTCGGGAACTTCCCTGAAGGGGGGTCGTAGGTAGCTGTGGTTGTTGGCTCTTTGCAGGAGCTGCAGCTATGTCCGAAAAGGATCTGGGCACAGCAGACAATAGATCAGTCTGAGTTGCCTTGGCCTTTACCGTGGTCCTTTTGGTTTGGACGCCTTCTTCTCTTTTTTGAGGACTGTCCGATGTGGAAGGCCTTTTACGTTTCTTAGAAGGCAGTGTTCTTTCGTCAGACAGAGACACAACCTTCTCGGCAATCTTCTCCATGGCTGCCTTACTCACCACCCGGCAGGCAAAAACGAAGCCAAGGTCAATTGAAGCAAACATTAGAATATACAGAAGCAGGTGTTTTTACCGATGAAGGAATACAAAATAACATGGGTGCCCACTAGACTGACAACTTGTTTGTTTGAATTGTTAACATTGTGTTCCATGTGTGCAACATAGCAGGAGATTGTTTGTTCCATTGGAAGTCCAACCAGATCTTTAGGTTTAGGTAACCTTTGAGACCCAGCATGGCAGTATGCATATGTGATGGCAATCGTCCCTATTACAAACAAAACATGTATTCCATTAATGTTTCTTCCCAGGTACTGCCTCTGGAGAACAACATGAAGACACCCCAAGACTTTGGAGGTCTGACAGGAGTTCTGAATACAGGAATGGTTATCGTAGCTTGTCTATACACTGCTGTTGGCTTCTTTGGCTACCTCAAGTACGGAGAACTTACAAAACTGGGCAGTATTACACTGAATCTGCCTCAGGGTGAATTGTAAGTACCTTAGCTCCTTCTCTGCTTACCTCAGTACAGTAAATATTTATCACGTTCACTGCGGATGACGAGTAATCTCGTCACCCGTAGCCTTTTCCAGTAGCGAGCGATGAGTATACTCGTCAAAGCGCCGTTTACAAACTTTTGTTCCAGTGTGAGGTTAGCCACTGTTTCGCTTGCCGCTTGTTGTGCCAGTTTTATACTTCAATCTGGTATAATTCGTTTTCAGATCTGACTATTTTATCGATGGTAGGGATTGTTAAATGGTATGTTACGTTACTAGTCCTGAAAATAAGTGTTTGCCGGACGAGTGTGGTCGTGAACGGGATAACCATACACGAGTCCAGTAAACACATTTTGGACGAGTGACGTACAATAGTTTACGCTATACTAGTAAATCCGTTCAAATCTTTATATATTACAACCAACTAAAGGACTAAAAATCACTAGTCACATTATGTTTTTTTTATAACAACTCATTGCCACCCAAATACAGTATAATCAGCTGATTGGTGTCCGGTAAAACTCATTACAGTACAGTAGTATGCAATGAAAGCCCATTTGATTAAGCTGGCGGCAAACAGCTGTTTTCTGGACTAAATCCTTGCTTGGGAAGTTCGTCGAAATACTGTAGGGTGGCATAAAAATTATTGTAGTCTGGAGTTTGGACTTGGATCTAATGACATGCAATAGAATAACATTATTAATGTACTGTAGCATTGTGGAAGGAACCTAACCTCAAAATTGTGCTTGACAGCTTTTTTGTGGTATTTTTTATGGGGTGTCCTGGTACTTCACCCCTGCTTTTTCCCTCCATTTGGCAATACTGAGGGCTAGCTGTATTTTTCAGTGCTGCTATCAGTTGGGTTCTTGTAAAACTACGTCCATAACGACTGGGACGCAGTAGGCACCTCTCATTTGGATGAAACTAAAATTTAAAAGTTTTCACACACTCATTCACGCAGCGCATTAGTTGTTCATGCCGCCGGCCATCGCGCAACCGCATTGAACGTGTTAACTGCATCTTGTTAAACCAGGTTTACTAAAAACAATCAAATAAACTGGAATCCTACTATTGACTAACTGAAATAATATATCATCCAAACCAGTCTCGCCCCTTTTCTCCTGGTTTTTTGGGGGGTTCATGATTTGTGATTCAAGGTTGTTAGTGTGTGAGTTACATCACAAGTTTACAGTTTAATCCTTAAATTTTACAAACTTAAGTTGAGTTATAACTTATATCTTGCTTTTGGAATGGAAACTGACAAACGGATTGAGTGTGGGATAAGCAAATATCAAATTAAGAAATGTTTATTCAAACAACTTCTAGGTTGTGTAAGATTACAGTCCACCCCATTACATGTTGCTTTGCTGCTATAATCACATGTTTATGTTTCAGGCTGGCACAATCAGTGAGGTTAATGATGGCTGTAGCTATTTTTCTGTCTTACGGACTACAGGTAAACTGACAAAAATATGTATACAATAATATTTTTTGTCTTAGGTTTATTAACAACATGTATTTTTAGTTGATCTGCATTTAAACTGACAATTTTTTATAATCTAGACATTTTTTGGCTCTGGAACTTCCATAAAAAAATACAAGTAACTATTGAATCAATCCTTTTCCTAGCTGAACTCCGGATTACATTAGGCTCCTTGCTTAGTAAGCCCATACGGTACAAGAATGTTTCCGTGACTGCGAGATAAATTTGCCGCAATCACAGATGATGATGATGATTTGTTTGCTACCGTTGAAGATATTCAGAATTTTCTGTGGGATTTTTGTGGAAGGCAAAAATAATATTTCTGTCACTATGAGAGTCGTTCAGTATTTTGTCCCGATTGCGGGAGATAAAGATGATGATGTTTTTGTTACCTCATTGTCATCGAGATTGCCACGATCGCAGATAACAACCATAAACTTTCCGTGATCGCGGGAAACGATGGTGATGTCCCCATGAGTTTGGGAGGTGTTAAATATTTTGCCAAGATTGCCGAAGACCATGTTTCCGTTACTGTAGGATATGTCCTATATTTAGCCACAATTGTGGAAAAGACGATGATGATGTTTCTGTTACCCTTAAGAGGGAATATTAAGGGTTTTGCTGCGATTTGTGTAAACAGATTATGATTTTTCTGACCACGGAGGATAAATAAGATTTCTCCCCTGGTGGGGGAGACGGTGACAATATCTACACGACCATGGTAAATGGTCACGATATAACTGAGATAAAATTGTAACTGATAGGCGATGGCACGGATTAGCGGAATCCACTGTATCTATATTATCAAATTGTTAAAAATCCCTATCGTGGGATATGTTTATTTGATAGTTCATACATTTTTTACATAGCTTTATACAAAAGAAGTTGATCCCTTCTAGCAATATTATACAAATGATAATCTCACACAATAAATTCTGATTTACCTAACATCCTAACTGCAAAATGTTCATTAAGGTAAATATAAGAGTAACACACATACAATGCTGTACAAAGCAGGATTCTACATGTGATCACACTTTCACCTTAAATTTAGAAGTTCGGAGAACAAACAACAACAACAAAAACAATGTGTTTTCTACCACATTTACGTACCAACCTTGTCGTTTATGTATCATGATCCTTATAAATACTTTGATATACATTCACGTACATCCAGTAATTAAATATTTATAAACCTAACACTACTTACTTAAGCATTTTTTTAATATTTGTGATTTTTAGTTCTACGTTCCCATGAGTATCATCTGGCCGCCGATCAAAGCTCGCATTGCAGATGAACAGAATCAGAGAATCGCTCAGCTGCTGATTCGAACTGGTCTTGTCATCATAACATGTAAGTTCATTTCAATTATAACATGTGAATAAATTTTCTTCATTAACTATAAACGTTTTTAAAGCACCTCTGTTTGTGTTGTTGTCACCTATTTCTTGTTAGATGATGTTGAAGGCTCGTAATCATTACAAGTTTAACTGCTGTTAAAATCTACTTGTTTTTGAATTGACCATGCTGAAATTTGAAAACAATATAAGTTAAGTCCCGTCTTCATTCCAAACCAGTGAATCTATAATCTTTCAAAATAATAACTTAATTTTTTAGCTAAGTTTTTTGATTATTTATTCGAGATTGAATTTTTTATTGGGATTATTGTCACTCTTAATCATATTATGTATTGGCCTATACATCTAATCTGATTTACGTACTGGTAAAATTGAAATTTAATGTCTTTACCACAAGCGTTCTACATAGCTAGTTTTTCAATTATGTTTGAATTCAGTAAAGACCCCCTTTATAAAGACCCCCTTTTCACTAAACCTTGTGATTCTCTGATCCTCAACTTCTCTCTCCATCTTTTTACATTCTATCTCCTCAGATATATTTATAAGCTATGTAGCCAATTTTTACTGTAAAATACCATAGTTGTCAGCCGTATGGTGTCTCAGTTTAAAATTATATTTCCTCCCTTAGTTCTTGGTTACTGGGATAGTTGATTTCTTAATGAATTTATTTAGAATAAATCGTCCTATCAGTGTGACTTGGATAAAGAGTTGACATATTCCACAGAAATCAGTAACATACCTATCTGAAGTTTTTCAATGGCTCAATTCAATTACTTGCATTGTTATTCTAAATCATCGGAATGGAAGTCGAGTTTTATCCATTATCAAAATATTCATTTGAAATGCTTAACCTCTTTATTCACTTTATTAGCAGAAGGGTTTTATCTTCCAACAGCTATTCTAACAACCCCTCTGTCCACAGTTGGTCTAGCCGCAGCCATCCCTAACTTGTCGGATGTCATCTCTCTCGTGGGAGCCGTGAGTAGTTCAACACTCGCGCTCATCTTCCCTCCGATCATCGAGATTGTCACTTTCTACGACAAGGGTCTCTCTCGCGCGACCATCGCCAAGGATCTGTTCATCATGATGTTCGGCATCCTCGGCTTCATCACCGGCTCTTACACCAGCCTGCGCAATATACTCTCGCCCAAGAGTTAGATAATAGGTTCGCTTTAGTACTTTGTACGTATTACTTTTACATTCGCTTTTATTATGGTTTAGAGTATTATTGCATGTCAATATTTTCTGGCACAATTTCTGTGTTGTATACCACAATTATTAGTCCAAGAATGAAATGAATGAATGGTGTTGTAAGCTCTAAGAGTGTTTGGCGCTTAAAGTTTGTTCAATCGTCATTTGATACAAGACAATTGTGATACAATTCCATTGAGAATACTTGTTGAGAACTTTCTATCTATATGATTGTATTGTGAATAATTTTCTTAAATAGTACTGCGGTTCCTTATTTGTTAAAAATGCGGATTTTTACTTCTAAAATCTTATTTTCATGCGTTATTTTATCATTATCTTTTACCGCTGAAATATTTGTCCACAGTGTTTTATTTAATTTATATTTTATTATCGACATAAGAGAATTTCTTGAAAGTTGCTGGAATTTCTCCTAATATATCAATTCAGCTGTACACCTAGCTAGAGTACTCAAATTCCTTGTTTTTCAATATTTCTCCACGGTTACATATATTCTCGATGGTTTAAATGTTAACAGATTGTATGGACTAAAGGATATTTATTAGTTTGTTACATTTTCTTATAAAAAAATCAAACTTATAAAGTTCATTAACATAATACACATTTGTTCTTCACTGAGTTTATCATAACATCATTCGCTGCGATCACACACATTTAGTCAACATAACATTGTAGGCAGCACAAATAAGTTTAATGTTGTAAATAGCTGTGCTACCTTAGTGGTTGAAAGATGTTTTCTTTCAAATGTGTAAGTTTTTATCTATATGTCTATTAACAAAGCAAGACAATAACGGTAGATTAGTGTTTTTAGGTGTGTCGTCAGTAGGATTATTTGTTGTTCACTGTGATAACACTAAATAATTTAGAGTTGTTTTCTCTCTATATAATTGTGATGGTATATAATACCAAAAGACATTTGTAGCCGAAATCCCAACTAAAGCACAATATTTCTGTAATATCTCCTTCCTGTGAACCATCTGAAAAATAATTTCTCCCTGTCTTCTCTTTGGAAACAACGACTCTAATCATAATCTGATTCACAAAATTTAAATTTTGAAACATCTGAATGTAGGTATTTGCAAATGTTTGGGATTAAGGCTTGTGCTGTAAAATGGTACTTTTATTTTTTAATATTTAAATAGGCTATTTTTATTTATTAGTTTATGTTAAACTGATGTCGGTTCTTTGATTTCTGTTTGGGTTCGAGCAGAAATTACAATACAGTATTACCAAAGATCATTTTAGATTGTATGTTTACAAATAGTTTGAACAAATAAATGAATCAAATTTCTGAATAAAACACAAATATACTTAAATTAATGATTTGAGTACCTACTATCCAAGATAAAAAAATAAAAAAATGATTGAATTTTCATATATTAAATTATATTAAGTTTAGGTATTTTATTCCAACCTAAAACTGATTGTTTTCGTGCTTTCCATACCCAGAAATCAAATGTATGTGTATAAAAAATGTTGTTTGTATAATGTTATATATTATATTGTAGTTTTAAAACCTTGTTGATATATCATCTGTCGTCTTTCATTTTATTGTTTTGTCAATCCCTACTTAAGGATTATGATAAGTTAATCGTCATTGTGTAATTTATCATTTATAATTCCTTGATGTAATATTTTATTAAAAAAATTAGTAGAAAAGTAAGAGCCTATAAGTTAGGGAGTTTTATATATTTTTGTTTTAAATAAAAACCATTTTTCAAATATAAACTTGTACTTCACAAACATATTTTACCATTATATTTTTGTTTACCAACAACTGAAAATGTAATTACAGCTTAGTTAACACTCTACAGTCAAATTTGTTTTACATAGAAATAATTTTACTCTTAGGATAATTATTTACTTCATTTTTCATATATAACTTTAGACTCAGTTTCAAAATTATTTTAATAACAGAAATACGAAACTTGTTCAAAAGAAAATTATTAGTTTGTGAGGTACAGTTTTATATAAGGAATAAATCTCCTTAAATTGTTTGATTTACCGGTTAAGAACCCCTGTAATATCCACTTATTAATTTATATATAATTTATTTATTTCATCATTTCCATCTCATTCCACCCTCCAACTTTCATGTAATAATCTTATTTCTGTAAATTATTTTGTATTATTTTAAGAAGCAACCTGTCACATGTTCACTGCATATTACAAATCTATTTTAATAAATTTTTTTATTTAATTTAAATATTATTTTATCCTTGTTTGCTACTTCTTTAGTTGATAACTGCTTAGTTATGCTTTATACTAATAATCATTTCCGATTAAAAAGTAAAATAGTTTTTTTTCTATAGTTAATTAAAGTCGTAACTTTTTTCATTAATTACTTTGTTGATATACTGTGTGGTCTGTATAGAAATAGTAGTTTACGCAACGATTGCGTAAAGATAGTGTCGTTAACTCTATTTACGCGAGTTGTGTACATTACTTTACCTACGACAGTTTTTTAATTACTAAAAATCACTACTCATAACTTCTAAGAGAAGCTATCATTTTTGTTTATAACCTCTCAGTTACCACTGACAGTGCTACAAAACATTGTACCTAACAGTAATTGCACCACTCAACAATTAAATTGGCCTGAACAGCTGATTAGTCGAAGTTCCAACCTTCGACTTTACTTCTTCTCTCTCAATCCTCGAACCTCATCGGTCCTCCATCTGTATTCAGTGTTTATTAATTATTAGGTTAGCTTAGAGGAGTAGGGCGAAAAATATCGTACCTCACTCACCCAAAATGTGTTTACCGTATGTTAATCCCCCTCGACCATACTTGTCTGGTAAACATCTATTTTCCGCACTAGTAACGTAATATACTATTATCCTGGTGTAAATTGCTTAGAATAATTTTCTCCTAATTTTTACTAAAACGGTAGATGAAAAAAATAACGACTATAATAGATCTGAGATTGGTTTTTAGTGCTTAGGAAAGTCTGTCTTCCTCTAAATAGAGAGATATTTTATTCTTGTAAACAAAGTAGTAGAACTTACCAAGTAATGAGTGTGTAGTACAGTGATAGGTGTATTGGATGATGAGTATTGTAACATAGCATTGTATCCTCCAAGAGTTTGGTGATCTAAAAATCATATGAACGTTTCAAAGTTGTTCTCAGGTAAGATCAATGATAACCCTGAAAATGAATTAATTATGCCTAATCTTAGAAACATAATAATATTATATTATAGAGATGTCCTTATATTACTGTGTAATGTAAAATATATAGGCAATTATTCCTTGTCATTGGTTTAAAGTTCAGTGATTCAGACTATAAATTTCTCCTTGATAATTTATTTTGTACAGAACCTCTATCAGCTAAGTTCATTCCCATTTAGAAGGTAAGGTACTTTTGAATCCAGTTGAGGAATCAGTCAATATTCTCAATACGATATACTTTGCATGAGTTTATTTTCATTTTTAGAACTTATTTTATATACTAATGTCATATTTAAATTTAACACCCTTTGAATCAATTTGTTGATCTTGTAAAATGTTGGTATTCGCCTTATCCTTATAATATAATACATGAAGGCGATTTCTACGAAACACCACTCCTCCAAAGGACAAGCTTTTACAAACGATGTGTCAAAATAAAGTTTTTTTTTTTGTGTAGATCTTTCACCAATTGCTGTAATAAAAGTCCCCCACAGGCCATCAAAATCCCAATGTATTTCTTATGACGAAAAGATTTTGTTTACTTAAACATTATTTGTATTAATTACAGCTGTTCATAGTAAACACATGATACACACAAGAGCGTTTTCAGAGTGAGTTCGTTTTCAGTTTAGAGATAACTGGAGTGTGATTGATTACATTATCTTTGAGTTGACTCTTTTAAGACATCGGAAATTATGACTGTTATTAGTTTTGAAATAACGCCTGTAATACTTTGCAATTGCTCCAATTCGAGCAACAGGTGCACTAGTCAGTATGCTTTTATTATGGCACGTCACGTAATTCATGTACGCTTGAAAATAAGTCGGCAACACTTAAAGGTACTATGACTATGATCAGCTGTTGCAGTGTTTCCTATTTTGTTCAACCTTGAATGTAAACCTAACCTAAAACGTGTTTGCTTAGTGTTTGAAAGACTAATTATTTCTATGCTTCATAGTAACTGTAGGAAAAATATAATCTGTAACACGAGTGCAAATTGCCTTTGCTGCACTCAGAAACTTTCCACAATCCCCTGTGGCTCGTGCGTAAACGTTTCTCTCATGTGCAGCAAAGTGCCACTTTGCACACTAGTTACAAATAACTATTGTTATTCTAAAACTGGTTTCAAATTCTATATGGGAATAGAATTTCTACTACAATGTACCATAGTCAAAGCTTTTACTACTGATGACAATAATTTTGCCAAATAGTCACTGAAGGCCGTAAAGTGATCATTTTGTGATCTATTAGTTGTGGGTATTTGTAGATCTGTAGGCTATTAGTTTGGAGTAATGTTTAACTTAGTCCCTCTAGCTTTACTCATCATATCTCATGCTATATATTATCTTCCCATCAAATTATATTTTCAAGTAGTGTGTTGTTATTGATTACTATAATCCTATTAGGTGAGGTATAATTGTTTGTGTATTATTTTTTTAAATAAAGCCTCTATCATTCTTAGATAATGTTGCTTAGTTCCCTTGTCTCTATCTTTTGTCTGGATTTAACCATAGACAAATAGAATTAAATATAGACCAAAAGCAGTGCTACGGTTAACAAAAGTTCTGGCGTCCACCTCTGGGAGTGCCGAGTAGTTAAGGTGCACACTCTTAACTACACTGCGCTCCTGGCGGTGGACACCAGAACTTATGCTACTAAGCGCAGCACTGCTGTCGGTCTATATTTAATTCTATTGGTCTATGATTTTAGCAAACAGAATTAAAACTAATAGTTTGTAGCAATTGTGAATCATCGATATAAATTAATTTTTTTTTCTGAACATTGCATAGAATTATTAAGTTTTTGGTTATTTTTACGTTTTATAGCCTAACAACCGAAACTTTAGTCTTATCCCAATTTCAGTCCATCATCGTGATGAGGTCTGTGACGCAAATTGCGTTAATGCTGCGTCTGTAAACCAATTTACGCGGGAAAACTATAGTACCGATTAAGATTCAGATTATTTTCCTACTGGATTGGTGGGAATGTCGCTGTTACTTAACTACTTTGTAAATGAATTAACAAACTATCAAAAACCAAGTATTGTGCAATTTTTTACGCATTTTTCCTATGTTAACTACATACCACGAATATTATAACAGAACCTGGTATATATCATAAACATAAACAAATGAAGTAACTGGCCTGAATCCTATAGGCACTAATAACATTAGCATAAAACCGTTCCATTTAGGCAATTTTCAATTATGTTTACTTTCGGCCAGTAACATAATTTAGTTATGTTTATAATCCATGCCGTCTGTTATAGTATTCGTGCTACATACCATTGATGAAATACCAAAGTCGATGTATACTCCTTACTCTTATTTTATAAAATACCAATCATCTGTTTAGTGATTACGTCATATATGAAGTAGAACAGTTGTTTGGATAAACATTCTTTCTTCAAACTGTCACTTATTTAAATTAAAAGTTGTTTACAAATCGTGCAATTGTTACCGATCATGTTTTGTATGAAAATCTAAAACCAAGTTAGATTAATTGTCTTGTGAAGATTTAATCTTAAGTACAGTACTGGTACAATGGTTTGTGGCTTAGACAAATACGAACCCGAAACGAGATAATTAGTTAAATTGGTTGCAATAACAGTAAAGTAAGTAGAATACTTTTCAGTCCAGAATGTAGGTTACGGTACGTACGAGTGACCGGGAATTGTGCTGTACGCCGGGGAGTCGGAGGTTACTATCAGTTTTGTATGGGTTTGAGATATTTAAGAATGAAATGGACAGAATAGAATGGATAGAAGAGTGTGATAGAAGTGATAAAAGAAAATGGAGGCTAACTTCTAGCGAGACCAAAAACCTCTTTAAGGTTTCAGTGGCCACAGAAGAAATGCAAGGTAAGTAGGCCTACTGTAATAATGATATATGGTAAAGGCCATCGTATCACACACCGAAGGATCGTTGTCACATCGTAGAAGTTCCCGTTTTTCTTTGTATTTAAAATGCATGCGTAATAAATTTTAAAAATGTGAAGTTTGATTGTTTCCCCGTGCGTAGGACAGGGCTACAGCTAGACTACGGTACTAGTAGTACTACTAGACTAGTAGTTTCAAGTACTTTTCATTTCAGTTTATAAATAAAATTTTAATCAATTCCAATATTTAACCGTTTAAAAATAAAACTGAAGGTGTTTTCATTAAAATTCACTAAAAGCACCAGGAAATGCAAAGACTTGGGGGCGAAGCCCTAAAGGAATTAAAGGAAATCTTTTTAATTTCCACCGTCTTAGATCATAAGCATTAAAATGAAACCTCAATCGTCAAAATTGGCTAAAGGCCCCGGGTACGATACGAGCGGCGAGCGGTGAGCGGCGGTAAGCGGCACCGCTCAGCGCCGCTCATGGTTCCAAATCGAAACCGATTTTCGCGAAAACGCCGCTCGCCGCTCAGGTGAGTCATGCTTCAGTTCGGCCTAGGCCTCGGGTACGATACGAGCGGCGAGCGGTGAGCGGCAAGCGGCGAGCGGCAACCTGAGCGGCACGTAAGCGGCGGGGGTGGCTACGATACAAGCGGCACATTTATAACGCTCATCAAATATCCCCAGTTTTATGAGTCAGTTTAGTCGAAAATGGTAAACTATGCTTACCTGCAAGAATGATTGCAACTATTGTTGCTATCTGACAATTGTTTGCTTTTAAAGAAAAACTTAGTTTTTTTGAAAAACCTTAACCCTAACCTGGTCCCATACTTTTCTGGTGACTGAAGTGTTTTAAAACTTCCGTGATGGTCATTGCACAAACATTCCCTGGACTGCACCTCACGTATCGACCCGTATCGCATGTTTGCTGCTGTTTCTCTGTCATTTTAGGCCGAACTGAAGCATGAGGCCCCGGGTACGATACGAGCGGCGAGCGGTGAGCGGTGGTAAGCGGCACCGCTCAGCGCCGCTCATGGTTCCAAATCGAAACCGATTTTCGCGAAAACGCCGCTCGCCGCTCAGGTGAGTCATGCTTCAGTTCGGCCTATAATGAAAGGGAAACAGCAGCAAAAGTGCGATACGGGTCGAT